GGTCCAAGGTCCTCCCAGCAGCTTCTGTGGCTGAGGAGGGGGATTAGAATCAAGATCATTTGAAGTGTCCATACCGCTTTGTAAAGCCTTAGTAAGGCCACACTTGGAATTCTGCATCCTGTTTTGGTCACCACTTTATAAAAAAGATGTTGAGGCTCTGGAAAGAGTGCAGAGAAGAGCAAGCAGGATGATTAGGGGACTGGGTAAAACATACGATGAACGGTTGCAAGAATTGGGCAGGTCTGGGGGCTGCTGGGGGTTCACAGGGGTTCGGGAGAGCCCCTAGCTAAGATTCTGCACAGTTAGGGGAACCCCCCCAAACCCTCTCCTAGCTGGCCCGGCCCACCCCGGCCCTCCCAGGTGTCCTCATGCAGCCTGTTTTGGATGCACGTAAGTGCAGGATGCGCATGGAGGCTTGGGCAGGCCAAAAAAACAGGCCTCCCAGAAGTTCAGATAGAGGGGGAGGTTAAGATTATGCCGCAAGGACTCGAGGCTAGTTCCTCGCTTGACCCCTCCTTCCAGGCAGTTTTCCCGACATCCGCGTGGAGATGCTTGATGTGGAGAAAAGTCAGACCTTTGGCAGCAGCAGGTCCCCAATCCCCAGGCCATGGCCCACTACGAGCCTTGAGCCGTTCTGATCCGGGCCCCAAAAGTTCTTGCCCCCCCCCCCCCACCCCCCCCCCCCCCCGCCACCCCCACACACAAACACAGTGGAAGCCACAAAGCAGTGGAGGTTTGAAACCAGAGTTTCCCTTCTCCTTGAACCCTGCGCACGCTTTCGGCACACCACAACAAAAAGGTTCGCCATCACGGTCCTAAAAGACGGTTCTACTGTTTTATCTTCCGTTGGGGCATAGAGACCTCTTCCGCCTTCACAACTGTTGACCATCTTTTCCTGTAACCCTGGAAAGGGGCCCTTATGAGGTGCTACCAGCCGGGACAGCTGGACCAAGGTTTTTTAAGGGGGTATTACTCTTCCAGCACTCCTCCTCACTCCAGGACGCCCGACTCGTCTCCATTTGCAGTGTCCATTTTCTTCTCAGCCAAGCGTGAGCTTTTTTTTCTATTTTTTTTGCTTTCTTTGCAGATGCTCCCGAGGTTTACATAGAAGGCTACGACGACAACTGGTATTTGACCCGCAGTGACGCCGTGCTCATTTGCAACGCGAGGGGGAACCCCACCCCGGTAGATTTCTCCTGGACCACGTGAGTCCTACTGAATCGTTTCCTGTTTTCCCTCGTCAGCTCTGGCCCCAACATAGCACAGTTCTGGCTTCTTTACCGCCTGTGGACTTCAACTCCCAGAATTCCTCAGCCAGCATGGTTCTGGGAGTGGGCTCGGGAATTCTGGGAGTTGAAGTCCACAGGGGGGTAAAAGGGGCCAGAGTTGAAATGAGCCAGCAGAAATGTTCTTCCTGCCTTTAAAAAAAAATCTGCACTCCCATGTTTTGGGACGATCCCGGGCTCCTCCAAACGGATCCCACCATGCCAGTTGTTTATATCTTTAGTTCTCTTTAGTGGTTCTCGCATTGAAAATACAGATAGGCCTTAACTTACAGCAGGGGCTCCTCAAACTTGGCGACTTTAAGACTTGTGGACTTCAACTCCCAGAATTCCTCAGCCAAGGAATTCTGGGAGTTGAAGTCCACAAGTCTTAAAGTCGCCAAGTTTGGAGACCTCTGACTTACAGCCATTCATCCGAAGTTACAATGTCGTTGAAAACAGTGATTTCACCACCAGTCCTCACACTTATAACTGACAGAGCATTCCCCCAGGTCACATGGTCAGAATTCGGGTGCTTGGCAACTGGCGTGTATGGGTTGTAGCATCCTGAAGTCATGTGATCGCCAATTTCCAGCTTCCGAGCTGACAAGCGAAATCAGAAGCAGGATTCATTTCATGAACCGTGGGATTCACTTAACAATGGCCAATGTTCCACTTAACAACTGTGGTAAAGTGGGTCGTAAAATCAGGTGTGACTCCTATAGCAGCGGTTTTGCTTTGCAGTGGAAACTTTGGTCTCAGGTATGATGGTAAGTCGAAAATTCCCTGTACGGAAGGCCCCTAGAGAGAGCTTACTTTGAACAAGAAGGGCGTGTCCATGCTTACCCATGCAGCCACCCAGCCACCCATCTATCTGTCAATCTTACTTTATCTATCTATCTGTGTTCATCCATCCATCCAACATCCATCCATTCCTCTATATACTATCTGCCTGCCTGCCTGCCTGTCATCCACCCACCCATCCATCATTTACGTATCCATCCATTGCTCTTTCATCTATCCATCCATCCATCCATCTTTTATATATCTATTTACCCATCCATCATGCATTTATCGTTTATGCATCCATCCATCACTCATCCATCCATGTATCTATCTATCTTTCTATCTATCCATCTTTTACATGCCTATTTACCCATCCATCCACTCATCCATCCCTCCCTCCCTCACTCACCCATCCATCCATCCATCTATCCATCCATCCATCTTTTACATATCTATTTACCCATCCATCATCCATCTATTGTTTACGTATCCATCCATCCATCACTCATCCATCCATCTGTCTGTCTGTCTATTCATTCATCCATCCATCATCCATATCTATCTACCTACCTACCTACCTATCATCTATCTGTCTGTCTGTCTGCCTACCTACCTATCTATCATCTGTCTGTCTGTCTACCTACCTATCTATCTATCTATCTGTCCACCTATCTATCTATCATCTGTCTATCTATCTATCCACCTATCTATCTATCTATCATCTGTCTATCTATCTATCTATCTATCTATCTATCTATCTATCTATCTATCTATCATCTGTCTGTCTGTCTCTCTGTCTATCTGTCTATCTATCTATCTATCTATCTATCTATCTATCTATCTATCTATCTATCTATCTATCTATCTATCATCTGTCTGTCTCTCTGTCTGCCTGCCTACCTACCTGTCATCTGTCTGTCTGTCTGTCTGTCTATCTATCTATCTATCTGTCATCTGTCTGTCTGTCTGTCTGTCTCTCTGTCTATCTATCTATCTATCTATCTATCTACCTACCTACCTACCTGTCATCTGTCTGTCTATCTATCTATCTATCTATCTATCTATCTATCTATCTATCTATCTATCTATCTATCTGTCATCTGTCTGTCTACCTACGAACCTACCCGCCTACTTATCTAACTAGATTCCTGGACTTTCTTTGTGGCTTACCTGCCCTTCCTTGATTTCCCAGGTCCAGTGGGCAACTTCCGAAGTCCGTAGAGGTTCAAGGTGAACGCCTCCTCGTGAAAAGAGTGGATTACACTGTGAATACCACCTTCATCTGCCAAGCCACCAACCGTGTGGGGCAGGTTTCGACGCAGCAAATCATCCTCGTCCGGGGTAAGAGCTCTGGGCTTTTGGCAACCTTTTTCAAAATGTGTGTGTATGTGGGGGGGCTAACGGTGTGTGGGGGACGAAGACGAATTAAGATTTTTCGGTGCCGCTTCGCTGCTCAGGGATGGGAGGGCAGGGCGGGCATGTTAAGCAGATCCAGCTTGGGGCTCATCCGGAGTCTTGTCAGCTGCACGGTGGAATAATTGAGGTCTTAAAAAAAAAAAAAATACTCAATCTGGGGGACCAAATAGTTGAATTCTTCCTCTTCTGTCACCAATTCAGCGTGTGGTGCTTTGCGCAAAAGGATGGTGGGAAGCCATTGTGAGGTTTAATCAGCCCGAGGCATGGTGGTTCAAATGCTTTCAAATGGTGGCTCAGATAGGCCAGGATTGTGGGTGTACATTATGGGTTCAGAGCAGGTTGTGGGGACAAGGATAGCTGGGGTGCCTCACATGTGGGACGAACGGGCTTTTCTCAACTCTCTGATACCCTAGTTTCTCTTTGGACGTTCGGGGCCTCTTGGCCCCCTGCGCGAGATGGTGACAGTGATGATGATGGATGGATGGATGGCAGGGTCCCCGAGGAGCCCCCCAGTCTTCTCTTGCCTGGATCCAGTTGAGGCTCTGCCCCTTCCCCAGTGCTGGTATTACTAACAACTGGCATTTCTCGGAGTGACTTCCCCGTCTTCCTTTCTTTACTCAGACCAGCCGGTGAAGAGTCAGAGCCGCAACGTTGGAGCCCTGGTCGGGGGTATCGTGGGGGGGATCCTGGCCCTGGCACTTCTGGGGATCATAGTCTTCTTCATCCTGCACCGCCGGCACCTCCGAGCTTCCAAAGGCTCCTTTGATGCCAAGGCTCGGGCCTTGGGCAACGGCACTGCTCAGCCCCCGACCCACGACTTCACCGAACTCGACCAGCCACTGAAACCCGCCATGGGGCGAAAACTAGAGGACGACGAGGAGGACGATTACAGAGAGGAGGTTATGCGCGAGGAACGGCGGCACCCTCCCTACGGCTACGCCCCGCGGCACCGGGAGGATGAGGAAGAACGATTTGACCAGCTGGGCCCCATTCTGCGATTCAGCCCCGACCCGCATGGCTACGAGTACGACGACATGGAATCGCAGCACGACGGTTCTATCATCTCCAAAACGGCTGTCTATGTGTGAGCTCCGTCTGGACAGTCATCCTGCAAGAGAAGGGCCCAAAAACTCTCGGAGGCTCTCTGTAGGATTTTTAATGCTCCCTGAAGGATTTTTAATTTTTTTTTAACTGACAGACTCGGCCGACAGTAGCCCTGCTTAAGGAACGAGAGGCAGCTGTCAGGGCAGCTGGGCATCGGAGGAAGAACAAAACGGGGGTTTGTCCCCAGGAAAAGGGAAACTGACAAGAAAACTATCAAAGCCTTTGAAACTGTCCCTTCTGGAGAGATCTTTTCGGTACCGCTGCCTTAGAAGGATTTTAAAATCTTGCCTTTGTTTTTTAAACGTTGGAGGATATGAGAACCGGATGGGGATCCCTGGTACTCCAAGCTTTTCAGGAAAGGAACGAAACTGATCCAGCGTCCCCCGTGAAATGGGACTTCCGGTGAGGGACGGAGACTTCGACGCCCTCTCTGACGGGACTCCGCTGAGATTGGTGCTCTCGACTTTGACTGCAAAGAGACTCGGCTGCTTTCAAAGGCTGGGTTTTCCTCGGCCGTCCCTTGCTCCAGGAAACTGGGACTTTTAAAATATCCTGTTGTTGTGTCTTATAGTATCCTTGGAGGGTTGGGAGAAAGGAAGGGGTCCCGGTGGCGATCCCTGAGGTCTCTTTTTTAAAAAAAAAACAAAACAAAAAAACTCTTGGGTTAAGGAATTATCCGGGAATTGCTTGAGGTTGTCCGTCTTGTGGATTCCATGGTTTGGCTGTGTACCACGTCCTCCTTCCGTCTCCGGAATGGTCCCGCGTGGAAGGCTGAAAGTAAGGAATGGCTCTCCCATAATGGGAGCCAAGCCATTTCTTGGGTCTTCCATGTTCACACGCTATCTTCCTTGTGCTCTACTTTATATGTCCTCTCTCCGTTGTCTGTAAATACCCAAACTTTAAAATACAAAACGAAACAAAACAAAAACCCCAACAGCAAAAAAGCACAAAGAAGATATTTTCATAGTAGGTTTGGCTGTGCCTTCCTTTGTCCTCTTCCCCCCATCTCAACATCAGTTCTGCTTTTGCTTGTGTGTAATTAAATGCTGTCTCAAAACCTACCTCTTATCTTTGCTCTCTCGCTCGCTCTTGTCTTCGATTTGGCCAGCAAGACTTGGATGGGTGCCTGGAATGGTATAAAAATAAATATCAGCATTGCTGGAGGTGAAATTGAAATGGTTCTTAATAGACTGACAAGGAGGTTTTTGTCTCGACCTTATTATGTTTGGCAGATGCACTTGGATTTAGAAAGCGGCGATGCAGGACCGTTGGCAAATAAGGTGTCCAGGGAGGTCAGGTGGAGAAATGGATGCGTAAGATGGGGTGGGAAATTATGTGTGGCCCCTTTAAGACTTACGGACTTCGACTCCCAGAATTCCCGAGACACACTTCCCACCTTTGGTTGTTAGAGAAAATGACATTTTGGCGACAGGAAAACATCTCATGTCTGTTCAGGTTTAGCCGTGGTTTACAATACAGGTAGTTCTCCACTTACAACAGTTCATTTAGTGTCCGATGGCACTGCAAAACATGACTTACGACCATTTTCACACTTACGACCGTTGCAGCTGCATCCCCGTAGCCACATGTTCAAAATTCAGAGGTTTGGCCCCCAACTCGTAATTACAACGGTTGCAGTGTCCCGAGGACATTGTGATCCCCGTTTGTGACCCAATGAGCAAAATCAATGGGGAATCCAGATTCACTGAACAATCGTGCTTGTAACTTAACAACAGTGCTACTCACCGTTGTAACGTGGAATGGCCGCTAAACAAACTTATTGTAAGCCGAGGACTACCTGTGTCAACATCTTCTTTGAATGACCCCATAATCAATGCGGGGTGGAGTCTGGGCAACGGAATGGAGCCGAGTGTTTACTGGCTGGATGCCCTTCCTATCACCAGTGCAGAGTTTATGTTCAGGAGATATAATTCTCAGTGTGCCCAGAGAGAGAAATATCTGCCTCTACCTAGGATTGAACTCACAGCCCTCCTGATGGTTGAGGCGAGAGCTCCATCTCTAGGCCA